GGCATGGGCTCCTTACTAATAATTTTAAAAGTAAAAATAGTAAAAGTTTTTTTAAAGTTTGTACTTTCTGGGATTGACCAGTTCTGGAGACATGAACCTATTTTTTAAATAAAAAATACAAACTACTAGAGATGGGGGGGGTACCTTTCAGAGACTGCAGCTGGTTTGTATAAAGAAAGCTTATTAAAAGAGGAGGACATCTTTTCCCGCGAAATTGTAGTTAGGTGTTAATTAATTAGGCTAATTAATTAATTTTTATTATAAACTATTGATTTGATCACGTGATCACAATTTGTTTTTTTTTGTCTTGAATTTTAAATTAATTTTTACTTAATTTCAATTTGCCAGGTTGCAACTTTGCCTTAGCAACAGACACAAAATGTCATTTAGAATCTAAACAGCAAACAGTATTGTCATCATTTTTATCAAAAAATAATTGCAGCTGTAGCGAGCCAATTCTGTGAGAAGGTGGAGGAAGAGGCAGAGCTGCACTGAAGCACGTGTAAAGGAACTCAATTTATTAAGGGTCAAAAGTCAAAAGTGCATTAGGGCTCGCTATTGCATTCACTTGAGGATGTCTTACCTTACCGAGGAGCAAAAGAAGGAGCTAGCCGCCAATGCTAGGGCAATCGTTGCCCCAGGGAAAGGAATCCTAGCAGCTGACGAGAGCACGGGAACAATTGGGAAGAGATTCGCACCTATTGAAGTTGAGAACAATGAAGAGAACAGGCGTCTTTACCGCCAGCTGCTCTTCTGTAGCCCTCCCGAGTATGCACAGTACATCAGCGCCGTCATCCTGTACGATGAGACTTTCTGGCAGAAAGCAGACGATGGTAGGCGTTTCGTGGACATATTGAAAGAAAGAGGTGTTATACCCGGGATAAAGGTGGACAAAGGAGTAGTGAACCTCCTTGGAACTGATGAGGAGACCACAACTCAAGGCCTCGACGATTTGGGCAAACGTTGCAAGAACTATTACGAGAACGGGGCCCGCTTTGCAAAATGGCGCTGCGTCTTGAAGATTGGTAATGGCCGCCCGTCAGAGCTCGCCATTATGGAGAATGCAAATGTTCTTGCTCGCTACGCCAGCACTTGTCAGCAAAATTCAATCGTTCCAATCGTAGAGCCAGAGATATTGACAGACGGGACGCATGATCTTGCTGCCTGTGTTGAAGCCTCTCAGCGTACGTTGGCAGCCGTATACAAGGCACTACACGATCACAACGTTTATCTAGAGGGTACTCTACTAAAGCCTAATATGGTCCTCCCTGGCTACGACTGTACTACAAAGTACACTCCTGAGCAAGTCGCCGAGGCTACGGTGACCGTGTTCCAGCGTACTCTACCAGTTGCCGTTCCAGGCGTCACGTTCCTCTCTGGGGGTCAGTCCGAGATTGTTGCCACAACTCATTTGAATGCTATCAATGCTTACAAAGCTACTAAGCCTTGGGCCCTTACGTTCTCCTATGGTCGTGCCCTGCAGGCGAGTGTCCTTCAGGCTTGGAAGGGAAAGGCTGAGAATGTGAAAGAGGCCCAAAGTGTTTTTCTTCATCGTGCACGCTGCAACGGTCTTGCTGCTCTTGGTAAGTACGAGGGAGAGGACTCCTCTGGTGCAGCTGGCAAGGATCTTCACGTGTCCAAGTACACCTATTAAGAGTCTTCATCTGACTGATCTCCAAACAGCATAACTGACTGCATTTGACCTTTAGGATCTTTTTTGTGTATTTAAGACTGTTTTAATCCTTTAGGGTTTGCTGTAAAGTAGTTGTTTTAGATTTTAGTTATTGTTTTAGAAAAAGTAAACTTGAAAAAGTAACACTGCCCACAAAGAACAGCAAAAAAAGAAAAGCATTGTCAATGATTAATTGGGGCGAGCATGAGCGAGACCCACACTAATCTGTCTAGGTCTATTTGCGTTACGTCTTGTTTGTGAACGGAAAAATACGAAAATTAAATTAGTATACTACTATTAATAAATTTGGACCACGTGGGGAAAATTAATTTAGAGGGTGTGGTCGAAAAGAACAAGATGGCGGAAACTTTAACGTGACAAACTCAGATTGAGTTTCTAACAGCTAGATAAGAGAGAGGGGCTGTCTAAAACATCTGAAAGTCTGAAGAACTTAAAAGCAGCTTGATCTAAGACTCCTCTAGATTAGTCCTCTCATCGAAAGAATTAAAATTGGGAGAACAGCTTGATTAGAAGTTTAGCTTGGCACTGGCATTTCTCAGAGTGGCAGGACAGTTCATTCTTGTCTCTTTTACTGGGTCATTTTAGTCAGTTGTGTTAAATGGTGTGTTTGCTCTGTTCAGACCCTACCGGGCCATGAGAATGGGGTCTGAAATTCTGAATATGCATGCACGCTAAGAGCTGGATTGACTAGTGATTTTATTTAGTTCAATCTTATTTCAAATGGTAATTGATGGAATCTTGATTAGAAGTTTAACTAGTCTCGTACCCCGCCCCTTCGCTTTTGGAGGAAGGGTCTGGAGACACTCAAGGCTTTTTTGTTGCATGCTGGAATGTAATTAGTGCTGCTGATCATATGACCGGATGCATCCACGTGTTAATTTCATGTGATAGACACACCCCAAGAACATGGCTACCAGAAGTATGAAGAAGGAATCTTAGCTAAAACTCATTTCAAATCAGTTTTTATCATTAATTTGTTTTGTTTTTCTTCATTCATCCTTAACTTATTAAATGCATTTTGCTATCAGATCAAAATAGTATGTTTAATATTGCAAAATTGACTAAAATTGTATAATAATATAATGATAGTAATAAGAATGCTACAAAGGCCATGGCTGTTAGAGACATCATTTGTAGATGAGGTAGAAGTAGTTCTTCATCTTCCATAAAAGTATGTACCCCTATAGCACTACAGATAATTATTAGACAACAATCATAAGTTAAGTGAACTGACCATTTCTTAACTCATTGCTCATCAATAGGTAAGCACACTAGCTTTAGTCATTGACCAGAGGACAAAGGAAGAGTTTTTCTGTTCCAGAACTTATTTTCCAGAGGACATAATGCAGTACAGAGCCACAGTAGTGATTGACACTTTGTTTGCCACTAAATCCTGTCAGCAGGCACAAGAAACGATCCTAATCATCAATAACAGACTTTGTGATGCTTATTTCTGTACCTCCTTTACTTCTCTTTGAACCTCAAATCCTGTAACAACTCATGAAGCTCCTGCAAATTCTACTTATCTTTTAGAGGCCATTTTATTAAAATTATATCATGTGATATTAACTAGTTTGCGGTGGTACCACGTGGCTGGAGCAATCTGATTGGGACGCTGACATTCCAGCGCTATGCAACAAAAAAGCCTTGAGTGTCCCCAGACCCTTCCTCCAAAAGCGAAGGGGCGGGGCACGAGACTAAAGTTTTAACTTGGTACATTTTCTCAGTGTGGCAGGACTCGTTCTTGTCACTTTGATTGGGTTATTTTGGTTGTGTTGACTGGTGTGTTTGCTCTGTTCAGACCCCAGCCATGAGGCCGGGGTCTGAATATGCATGCAGGCTGAGAGCTGGATTGATTTTATTTAGTTCAATCATAATTATTATTTCAGTTGTTAATTGATGACTCATGCTCGCCCCCACAATGTTTACATTCACCTAGTTACATTATTAATTAGATAATTAATTACAGCCACACCCACTAATAATTTGAACCACGCCCACAGTAACGCTTGCATAACAGACTAGCCAAGTGTCAACATGTTGCACAGATTCGTCTTCTCTGGCATTTGGTCCCGTTTAAAGCAGACACAGCCTGGCTGCCAATACTCCACTAAGTCTAGTAGCTTGAGGAGAAGGTCCACCTGGTTTGGCATACCAGTTACCTTAGGCGTGGCTTGCATTGGAATATTACAACTGTATCGAGTTCTAGGGCGAGAGAAAGGGGAAAGATGGGTGTCACCACAACCCGTCACATGGCAGGTAACTAATGTAGTGTGTCTGTCCTTTTTTTTTACAACATCATGAATTAAAATACTATGATAATCGGGTGGTTTTGGAGTAGCTATGTGTAATAGTGATGATTAGCAAGTTTTAGTTTGGTCATGTGGCTACATAATGGCTGACTTGAATGACTCTGAATAGATCTCAAATTTGCTCCTTAAAAATTACCAGCTATTATGATATTTATATCTTTTTTCCCTCAGCTTGCTGGTTTTCTAATGTG